CTGAAATATGCATGCTGCGAACCATAAAGCATGCTTTAAAAAAAAATCCTAAAACTCATGCAACAGTGCAGCAAAAACGGGAGCACTTGCATCAGCAGTGATCGACGAGTAGATACCCTTGAACAAAAGGAAGAGTTTTTCCTTTGACTGTTCCAAATTCAAGTACATACATATGTATATATTTAATTGTAAGAATATTAAATATAACAATTCAGAAAGCCCAAATTCTTTTAAATAAAGTGTCAAAGTTTCGTAATATAAATTAATATAAATGGTTTGAAATAGTAACATTTTAAGCCTAAAATCATAAAGAAAACTTACATTATAAAATTATTATTTTTTTATGTATCTTTTTTTGTAATTTGTTTTACCATAAATAATAAGCAAATTGACTAACATTAATTGTAATTAACCCTTTTGGTTTTCGCTCCAGGGATTCCAAAACATTTCTTGTAATTTAAAGCTTTGTAAAAAAGTAAAAAAAAAAATATTAATAATAATAAAAATAAAATGAATATGTCACTTGAAAATCCATGGGTAACATCAGTTAAAAATAAATTTATGGCATAAGCTTTATATAATTGCTGACATACAAAAAATGAAAAAAAAAAATAAATAAATTAAATAAAATAAATAAATAATAAATAATAAATTATGTATATATATTTATATATGAATATATGTATACAAATTTGCATTGCAAACATTTTCTAAAGCCATGTCCTATCCCATATTATAAATATTATTCTTCTTTTTATTCAAACAATTAGATTCAAATATAAAATATTCAATTACTTACCAGATCCCGATAAGAAGAAGCGCACACCGACTGCACGACTGATCAAACACAACTTCAGCAGCAAGGCAGAGAGCTCGCCTTTATATAGAACGACACTCCCACCTTAAGTCGAAGTCAACTCTCTTGAGCTCAAGCAGAGCTCTCACTCGATTAAACGACAAATGGGAATGGAACTTCGTCTATCGCTAGCCACTCACGCAGGCAAACGAAAAGCTAGTGAGCTAGAAACACATAGTGAGATCGTTTCCACTCATACCTCTGTTTCATTTTTGGCTGACGACTCTCTCGGCTCTTTTCCTCCAAAGAGCAGATATAAACGAGTCAGGATGGTAGTTTTATAAAACGTATACTCTATATAACAAATAAAGGCTGTAAAACTATTTTAAAATAATTATCTAAAAGCATATCATATATGTAAATTTATAAATATACATATATTTGTGCAGTTAATATACAAAAAATTATAAATAAATTAATAATTACACATTAATATACAAACAGTAATAAATATATTAATTACACAAATATATATACATATATGCAGACTAGGAAATATTTTTAAATTGTATAAATACTATATATGTATATATAAATAATTTTTGTATAATTTATATGGAGTAAATATACATACATATATACAGAGAAATACAGTTTACAAGAAAATGTACATATTTTGTTTGCTGGTTTTTTTCTTTCTCTCTCGTTAACTAATTTGCAATTTGCATTTTAAATAATTTTATAGCCTAACTATTTACGTGAATCTCGTGCACGTAATTTTTTGTTATTGTTTTCGTTTGCTTGTGCCCCGTGGCTAATGTCTGGAAGTGATTTTTGTTTCTGTTTTTTAATGAATTTTAAATTTCACTTAAGTTGGCAATGCCAACTGGGCATGCAGCGTCGTAAGAATAATTTAATAAACAATTTTGATATGTAACTACTTTGCTGGAGGCGGCTTCTGATTCAATGGATGGCAACGACCAGCGTAAAGCGCTGCGGGCAAGGACAATGGTGGCAGAAGAAGACTCCGCCCCTCATATTTGGATATTCGCCAATCCACAGGTTGCCCAGGCACTGCGCTTGACAGCTAATTGGAGCCAACTCTCATTCTTAAGACTATTTTATGGCTGGCACACAAAAGGCTCTCTGTCCGCATGGACATTAAAGGGTCCCTGTCGGCACCTGAGTCTTCGTCGTCGTAAGACAATTATGAAATGACCTTTTTATAGCCTATTATTAGCATTACCCAAGTGGGGTATTGTGATTGCGTTTGTAGCGGGCGCACAGGCATAAAAGGACTGAGCTGACAACATTTTTATGCTTGACAATACCACAAGTGCTTTCCTGTTGCATACGCAAATTTTGCGAGTTTATATACGGGCACATAATATAAATGAAATGTCAAGTAATATGAAAATGAGCGGAAAAAATCAATAAATTCAAGTATCATAAAATGTGAATATAATGTGGAGTATATAAAAAGCCAAATATACTATATTATAAAAGAATTAGTTTCTTGTGATATATAAAAAAGCAAGAATATATTTTATATTAAATCTTTAGACATCATAATCTATTAGCCGGTTAATATATCATTAATTTTTTAACAATCAAATAATATAAACATAGTTCTATTATATTAACCAAAGTTAAAAAGGCTTTCTCAATCCTGTTTAAATGATTTTAAATTACTAATCGATTTCCATATTTGGCGGTCTACCGCTTGCTCAAAATATCGCAAGAGCAGTAGCTATCGATAACTATTGCACCAAAGACTCGCTGATTTGCGAGATACTTTAAAATTTCAATTATATTGCTAAATTTAACTAAATAGTTCGAGCTATACTAAATAAATATATGATATATATTAATTTTGATATAATAACGCATTTACTAATCATTTTTATGTTAAAAATGCTATGAAAATGAATGTTCATGTGCAATCACTACGTTTATGCCGCTCATCTCTAGCGCGCTTTGTTGCGTTTCGCTTTTGCCGGCTAAATAAAGTGACCAACTGTAAAATAAAGCATAAAAATGCAAAAACCAACTGAAGAGGAGACATTTCAAATACAGGCCCTGGAAATACGAGAACCAGATGAAAACTTTGATCCACAGAAGCCGCCAGAATCTGGCGAGGAGTACCTAACACACATGCTCTACGAGCGCAAACGTTGTCCCGCCGTGGTGACAAAGCGTTCCGCGAAAATCAAAAATAATATCAGAAGCAACGGATGTGAAATGCTAAGCAGCGTAAGTGTGGGGGTATTCCCATGTTAATATAAATCTTTAACTATTATAACTGTTGCAGCCACCTTTGCCGCCTCACAGGTGTCTGCTGCCCACGCCTGAATGGCGCGATGTCCAAGTGAAAAATTTCAATAATGCACGCGAACGCGTTGCTGCACTGCGTTTGGAATTGAAGTCACATAAATACGATCAGAGCATTGAGACGCCGCTCACAGCAGACGTAGATAAATGGCAGGAATTCTGTCGCACACAGCAGCCGCTGCTGAGTATTTTGCTGCGGCTCAGTCAAAGCGATTTAGAGCTGTTGCTAGAGATGCTTAGCAAATGGCTGCAGGGGCCATCGCTTGAAGCCGATGAACCCAGCACGTCAGCCAACGCCACGAAACCCATAGATCTACTGCATGACGCTTGGCTAGCGCGCTGGCTATATGCCAACCTGGTCTGCCTTCATCTGCCACTAGAGCCGCATGTGTTCAGCACGTTGCGCTGTATAGCTCGATCCTGTGTTCTGCTTCGTAATCAGCTGCAACCGCATGAAGTGGAGCGTGCTGCACCCTATAATCTTATGATTACATTGATTGTCCTATGCTTCGCGCAATCAGACTTTAACGTTTACCTCTAAGAAGATTCAGTTCAATATCCAATTTCCAATTTGTTCAAAATATAAGCTAATATATTTATAGTTTCTTAACTGCTCTCGTAGAACCTGCTGTACGCTTGACAGATGTGACAATTGGTCTCATGCTCAAATGTGACTGTTGCAGCCAACGAGTTGGACTGCGAGCGAAAGTTTGAGTTCGAGTGGCTGCACTGCGTCGAGTCGGAGATCGTGCTGAGGCTCGCGAGAGATTGAGAGCTGTGTCGTGTGGTGATCGAGCAGGAGGACAGCCGTCGTGACTGCTGCTCGTACAAGAGTTGGCTGCTCGTTGAGCGGGCGAGGCTTGTGTCGGTGCTGCAATTTGAACCCTTCGAATGGCAGACAGTTTTCTGTTTGCGTGGCAGCTCCAGGCGACTGAGGCAACGGCTCTGTGCATGACGATTGCTTATCTCCCGCTCCAGATTCACTTTGCAGCATTTGCGATGCTTGTCCCGCGTAGTCAACTCCGCTGATATCTCCACTTTGGGCGCCAGAATGCCCGGAAAAGCAGAGGTGGCCTTCATCAGCAGCTGTACATTAGCTGAGTGCTCGCAACTGAGAGGCGGCACAGGTGGCTGCATTAGGTCTGACAATCTACCCAAATAGTAGGCCAATCGACGTCCATTCTGCCACATAGTGATCTCCAGTTGCTCAGAGTTCAGCATATCCCGCATCTGATCTATAGAGTTAACACCCTTGAAGTAACCCTCCATGGTGAACTCGTCGTGACAGAGCATAGGGAAACGCGGCTCCATGGCGCCAGTACGAAAATAGTAGCCCAGTGTCTTGATAGTGGCCTCCAAACTGCCGTGGGAGCACAGCCAGACGCCCGGACAGGTCACCTAAACAAAATCTGGCAATTAATATTAAACCTTGTGAATAAAGTAGTACAAACCGCATGTAGATGCAGCACTAGGCGCATATAGAATCTCTTGTGTGGCATTGTAATTTGTGCTTTTAGTAAGTGTTAGAATTTTCACTAGCATTTTGTATCCAATGGTTGGGGGATTGGGGATTTGTATTTGTTTTGACAGTAAGAACGTTGCCAAGGGCACCAAGACAAAATTTTAAATATTGCGCGCCTAACTAACGATAAGTGATACGAATAATAATCGATAGCAATTATTACCAAAAGACGATGTGTGAGCAAATATCGTGAATTTGATAACTAATAAAAATGTATATATAGTTTAAATCATCTATTGAGAATATTATTATACCTATCTATATTTATGAGAAAAGCGCGATTTTTATGTAGTAAATAATTGAATTTGAAGCTTTCCCGCCACTGCATAACTATGTTACAAATGTACATATGTATTTCCGTGTGAATGTCAAAAATAAATGAAGAAGTGCAGAGATAAATACGGCTACTTTTAATCAATTATCCCACGTCAGTTTCTTTGATTACATTATTGGCAGCTGTTGGAAATGTTGCGCCAATTATTCATATTTTTATTATTGGTCCTCCTAAGGGACTCAAACTGTGAACAAACGCCTGAGGAGGAGCAGGGCGTGCGCTATGCAAATCGCTGCGAAGCCTGTAAAATTCTTGCCGCTGAATTGGAAGCGCGATTGGGCGAGACCGGCAAATCGCACGATGTCATTGAAATCGGCTACTCCGTGGACGATGTGCGTCCGAAGAAGCGCACCGAATACAGGCGCAGCGAGTTGCGTCTGCTCGAATCGCTGGAGAATGTGTGCGAGCGTGTGCTAGAGTATAATTTGCACAAGGAGCGCACCGATAGCACACGATTCGCCAAGGGCATGTCGCAGACCTTCCAGACGCTGCACGGATTGGTGGACAAGGGTGTAAAGGTGGATTTGGGCATACCCTATGAGCTGTGGGACAAGCCGCCCGTCGAGGTCACCCAAATGAAGACCCAGTGCGAAAACATGCTCGAGCAATACGAGGATGCCATCAGCGATTGGTATTTCAAGGAGCAGCAGCAGAAGTCTCTGCAGCAGCATCTCTGCGAAGATCATGTGCTAAAGCACGCCGAGGAGCGTAAATGCCTCAAGGAACAACTGACAGAGGAGCAAAAGCCCAAGGGCAAGAAGCGCAAGGCCAAAGGCGACAAGGAAGAGCTGTAGTTGAGCACGTTAGTTAAGTCCTAAAGAGATTGCAGTTTATCCTAAGCCTAGCCATTTAGTGATCAAAGCATTTGTAGTGAAGTTAGACGACTTACTCTCTATATTCCGTAAGCTTCCGAGCTGACTGAAAGCCAAAATGTAACTGACCCACTATCGATTGGCAGCGCAATTCCATTGCAGCCCTTGACAAATGGGGCGGCCGGAAATCGACGAGTGCGGGGATGGTATCCAAATAGTGTCTATATATTTATACAACTTTCGTTTACACGATGATCGTTTGTAACGTGATAAAAAGCAAATGTAACATGAACTTTAACTTTTGTTAGGATATCTCTTTGAAATTGATGTTGCTCTATAAATAAGTCAGAAGTTTCTTATTTATGTTTAAATATATATAAATTTAGGTTATCTCAAGAATTAATTGGAGCTATTATTCATTTTGAACAGTTTCTCCATTTACAACACTTTCTATAGCTGATATGAATATGAAATTTATGAGAATTACTTTCTAAATAGAACTGTTTTATGGAATGTCTTTAAAATAATATTACTTTAAGGGAAAAAATCTTATTTCAAGCTACTAGAAACTTTTGCTTTGTAAATTTTAACTGATTAAGATTAATCCATCTGACAAATTCCATAATTCTGTTGCTACTTTAGGGATAGATTTAATAGAAACTTTTACTTTACCTTATAAATCTCACCTCAATTCATATTAAATTATTATCAAATTAAATCAAAATACTTTTTGCTCAAGTCGAAGGTAAAATTACCATGTACTTTAGCAGCCAGTTAACCAGCACAGTACACATTGTAATTATTCTCTTTGATTTTATTGCGTTTAATTTATAATCACGCTTCAAGGACTTCATATAAATGTAGCATATGTATATTGTAACTGTGTATCGTTTCGTTTCCGTTTTGTGTATAATAAATACGTTACGTATGTTTATAATTATTAATGTAAAAAAATAAGTAATTTGTTAGTAGTTAGTTTAGTTCATCTTTCGTGCTGCAGTTGTGTGGAATCACTTAGAAGTTTCGTTGCAAGCGTCAGTCATTGAGTAAACACAAAAGAAAAGAACACAAAGAAGGAAAAGAACGCAGTCTAGTCTTTTTTCTTCTTGTTCTTCTTCTTCTTTTTCGTATGCTGCGACTTGGTGCTGTCGATCCACATGGAGCAGATCTCTGATTGATTATATGAATAATCTGAATTATGCTTAGAGCTTCATCACATCCCACGGATCGTCCATGTAGTGCAAGATGGCCTTCTCGTGCAGTTTGTCGCCAAAGACCTCGCGCAGCAGCCGCAGCACCTGCTCCTCGATGAACGCCACCTGATCCTGGGGACAGTAGTCATCCCGGGCCGAATGCGCCATTGTGATGGCCACGGGCGGAACGGGCAGACGTTGCAGGAAACGCTTAAAGTGCGCAAAGTAATCCTCCAGCTCCTTGGTGGTGCTTATATGATGGGGCAGTCCATTGTTATCCGTGGTGCTGCCCGAGTCGAAGATGAGCAGCCAATCGATTTCATCGTCCGGATATTTCGCCTGCAGTTGCTCAGCCAAATGGAGAATTTTGGCGTAGACCTGGGGCGTGATGACTGACTCGTCGGGTCGCTCGAGACCATCAAAGGTGCGCTCCTCCTCCAGATGCCAGAAGATGCGCTTCAATGCATCCAGCTGCTTCTGTCGCGTCTCCGCTGTGGCACAAAAGTCAGCTATGGTGGCTGTGCCCGCCCGCTTGGCCGGCTCCACGCTCTCGAAGTGAAAGATCTCCGTCAGCTGCTCATAGCAATTGGCATCTTTGTAGATTTCTAGAAACGGATTCGATGTGCTAAAGAAGTCCAAGTCAATATCCAATATAAAGGCCCCAGCGTCCTTCTCGGACAGAAACTCTGCGGGATCCAGCGCCTCGCTGTCGGCATCGTGCACCTGAAGCTCCACAGAGCGCGCCTCCTGCAGCTCGTCGCTGGTGCAATAGTTGCCCTCGGAAATGAAATAGTCCAGCGGACAGTCCACACCAATGCGATCCTCCTTGTGCCCGATCTTGAACTGATGCTTGCCTGTGGGAATCTGCTGGCACCACGAGTTCTTCAGCCAGACAACGCGATTGAAGTGACCTAAGGGGAAGGGGAACAGGAGATGGGTATCTCTCTCTCTCTCTCTCTCCTTACTAGCTCTGTTGAAATCTTTGTCTTACCTGCATAAAGGGTGGGCATAATCCAGTTCTCGATGCTCAACTCGTTGAGCATGACGTCCTTGTCGTAGCTGGCGCTGGCTGGTATATCGCGATCCACCACCAAATCCGGATGAGAATCGAAATGTACCAAGACATTACGCTCCAGCGGCAAATGCCGTGAGGCCAGGCATCTGTAGATGAACTCCAGCACATCGTTGTGATAGTCCACAATGAAGACGGGTATGCGATTGAACTGACGCAAGCTGATCTGTGACCGCTCCACAGCAACCAGTTGAGGCACCTGCTCCTCGGACTCTTCTATTTGCTTCTCCTTCGGCTCATCTGCATCTGCATCATCATCCTTTTCGGTTTTCTGCCGCTTGTGAGGCGGAGGTGTCGCGTCGCCTTCGACTTTGTCTTCCCCCTTGCCGCCCACAACGCTTTCACTTTGTAGCGGCGTCTGCAACTCCGCCGCCGCCGCCGCCGTACTTTCTATTTCCGTCGTATCCGATTCCATCGTTGCAATTTGAATTAAATCTTACTCGAACTCTTTTGATGCAGTTGGCGGCGCGTGCGAAATGACGCAGACTATATTTCACCAAAAAAATAGATATATATATCAGCAAGGCAGACGACCTCGACACTCGGCGTTCGACGCCGTTTGTTTTAATGCAAACAATACAAATACAGTCGAAAACGATTTTTTGGGGGGAAAAAGTGGGATTGTGCAAGTGGGAGGCAGAGAGACAAGACAAAAAGCTAATGAACCCATTAGTGATGGAAAAATATCGAAGTGCTACCGTGTATCGATAGAATCAATTGATATTGGTGCTGCCACACACACGTTAAGCCAGGGCTGCACGATAATCAACAAGTGAGCGGCTGACCAACAAGTAGCTTACAACTGGTGCTGAAACTGACTAAAAGCTTCACTGTGCATTGAATATGATTAGCATTTCAATTTGAAATGTTTCGTAAATCTAAATCGATATTTTTCAATATAAATATGTGCCCAATTACTTAATTGTATTAACTATAACTAAGTTTATATTTTTTAAATATAAATAATGTGCGTATTTATTTGCATAACGTTAACTCAAATATTTGTAGTATAATTTAATTTATTAGACAGCAATAAAGCTCCCAATGCGCAAAAGCTTGCCAGCCCACGCGCACCATTAGCAGTAGCAGCAGCACCGGCAGCTTTTCATTCATAAGTTTTTGCCGTTTTACTACACACTCTACACACCTACACACGCACACGTGCTTATGTACAACTGTTTCTGTATTTACATACATATATATACTTGCATATACAAGCAACATGCCAATAAAAAAGGGAAATGGAATCGCCCACGTTGGCATTTTTGTTGGCTGATTGGAATGCGTAAAACTCTGCCGTGGCGGTCGTAGCCGTCGTCGCAGCCGCCGTTTCTGTTACTCACTCACACAATATGCCGCTGCGTGTGGGTGGAAATGAATGGCGTGCTGGAAGCAACGCCGGCAGTGGCGTTAGCGTCAACGTCGCCGTCACCGTCAACGCCGCCGCCGCCTCCTCTGCCAGCGTCGCCCCTTGCGCGCCTGACATGCGTGGGCGTGCAATTCCGCAGCGCGTTATCAAAAATAAAGTGTACACACATTTATATACAGACACTTTGCAGGGGTATATACCTACATACATATGTATGTATGTATATAAATGTAGATATGTATGTGTTTGTTGGTGTATGTGTGTAAGTATACGCATTTTGGCCAGGCCAACGGGCGAGGCTGGCGTTGCCGTTGCGTGGGCCGCGCTGCCTTGCGCTCTGCGGCAAATTACAATATCCAAGTGGCAAGTTTTTTGGGCCGTTGATGACGGCGCACTTTTATATGACGCCCACACGTCCGCACGCTCCACATTTGATTTTTACAAATTACGTGGGTCAACATAATTAACGGCCCTGCCAACCAAATGCGACTGCGAATGTGAATGGCGGTGCCCAATGAAGTGAGCAGCGGAAGTGACAGAAAGCAACAACAACAGCAAACACAGTCAGCAACGGCAATTTCCAATTGAAAAATCAACTGGGAAAGTTCACATTTTGGTTTATTGATTCAATTGGCTGCAATTGGCAATGCGGGCTTACGGCCATTTGTTATTGTTATTGTAGTTTGTATTAATTACAAACACACAGTCAATGGAGCCCAAAGCTCAACTCCACACTCACACACACACAGATATACTTAATGATCGTCATCGTCGTCATTGTTGTCATCGTCATCAACTGAATTTCACATTGCGCTCTCAATTCTCGCAATTAATTTGCCTCCAGCTTGACCCCAAAGGTCAAATACAGCCGCATTAACCTTCGTTAGCCCCTTACGGCCCAATTGAGTCAAGCAGGCAAAGCAACATTTTTCCGCTTGACGCTCTAGTTTAAAAATACATGCCCATAAAATGAAAACCAACCAACCAACCAACACCCAAAATGAGAAAAAAGAAAACCTTAAAAAATGGCAAGAAAAACAGAAAGCGAGGATGGCTTAGACAATTATTGACTAGGACTATAAAAGGGCAGTTACAAGAATAAGATTTAAAGTATCGCAAAACTTACATAAATCAAATTCTAGTTAATCATCGATATGTGCTAGTCGATAAATTGCAACTAGTGCATAGGATTGCACACATATATCGATACTTGAAGCGTGACTTACATAGATATGTAACTATCATAGCATAAGCTCAAATCAAATATCGGTTTGCGAAGTAAACAGACCTGCGAATTACAAATCAATTCAATATTTTCTCTTAAGTGCTGAGTAAATCTTATACAATATTATAAACCTTTCACATGCTTCGAACGTCTTGAACAGCTCCCCGAATGACGTCAAAAGGATTTTTGGCGTAGGTGTCTAAAGCACAGCACGTGGAGAAGCTGTTGGGGCTGTTGGATGATTGCGATTGTTCGACTGACTTGTTAAAACTGAGTCACCCTGCGCGACTTTGCTACAAGAACATTCGCACACACACACACACACACACACATTGACAGAAACAAGTTGAAGAAGCCAGAATGTTTCCCATACAGATGCGCGAGTCAGTCAGTCAGGCAGTCAGTTAGTTGGCCAGGTGTAGGTTTGCTTTATATCAATCGCCAGTTTAGCTGACAAACAAATTGTGGCGTCATTGGCTCACACAACAACACCTTAAACAAATCCGCAAAAGTTGTGGGGGCCAGCTGGAGCAGCCGGCTCTGGTCAAAAATCGAAAAATAAAAAGAACGTCAAAAGCGTTGATCGCCGATTGCCCGACTGGCGCCCACAAACATCCGCTGCATGAATCAGTTTTAGTATTATATTGCTGCACCACCACACTAATGCTGGACAGCCTCCACAGAGACACGCACACATATGGAGTGGCCTGGTATGCTGCCGATCAGACCGGAAGTATGCCAGCTTAATGCGCTTTATATGTATGTATGTGGATGTATGTGTGTGCGAGAGATATCTCCTCTCGTATATCGTGCTTTTTTTAGGTTCTTAATCCCTTTGGCGTTACTTTAGGTCAGTTACTGAAACGATAATGCCACATGGGGCAACTGAATTGCTATGGGCGCTATGCCAGATTAGCCCTACTCTTAGTACTATGACTAATTTTAGAGTCGAGAAATCGAAAGTAAACTGTGTGCACACTTATCAATATATAGATTATAGAGCTCATGTAATGCCAAGGATGAGCACATTTAACTATTTTTATAGATTGCTGTAATTGCTGCCTCAATTAATCATATAGCACATTAAGCAATGACTATAGAGCTTTACAATAGAAAGTTTGAAGATTGTGAAATAATATAAGTACATATTAAGAATAGATATGCCTAGATATCCTAGATATATTAAGAATAGATATATATATACAAATTAATGTATTAAATATAAATAATTTTAATAGTATTATAATATGAATCGAAATAGTAGATACTAGATATTATAAACCTTTACTAACTTGTCTAATAGACTAGTTCCCTAGCTGACAGTTGACTTCGATCTTCACTCACTTCGTAGATTATTGTATTGCTGGGCTAATTAATCAGGTATTCCTTTATTTTCTTTATAATCCTAATAGAATATCTGTCTATTGGATAGGTTACCCATTAATCAATTCCAAAGTTGTATTCAAAGTCTGATCTTCACTCACTTCTAAAACAAATTAGTTCCGAGAGATTTTTTTAACAATTCAGTACTATTTTATGGTTAGTCCAACTTGACGAATTGCAATCAAAATAAATGATCATGGATATTAAATATATCATTTTTGGCATCTGCGTATAATTTTTCGCTAAAACGCATTTATTTTCTTTACGTTTCTTTTTCGCTTCTTAGAATTCCTTGTCAGACTTGGAACTATTTTTGGACGGATGGGATCATACTAGAAAGATTCACTATCGTTCCACTGCTTTAGTCAAGGAAAAATTATTATTGTAAGCATTTCGTTCGAGTTCCAAGAATTTAATAGCCCGAGAACAAAATGCGTAAATCACAAAAATTCACCTTCAACTTTTGTCGATATAATTAATTGGCCGATCCTATACCATATACAATACATAACTGACTAAGACTTGGCAGCGATAAATGCCAGAAACAGCTTAGTCAGTCAGCTATTATATTCCTTTAGCATAACTCAATGACAATGACAATGGCAATGACAATAGCATTTTAGCCATATTCATTGATAAACTAGTTCGCATTGTCTAGAACGGATTTGGTTAGAGTTGAGTCAGTGACGTCATAGCTTGGCTATAGCTCAATGAAATCTGGCTATACATCGAAATGAATATCAATTTGCACATACGCAATTGGCAATATATCGCCCTATTAAAATTCAGTTTTTCAGGTGGCCGGCGAAAATCGAGCAGGTGAGTCACACAAAGCTAAAGCATTAGTCAGCCAAATCTGCTATCGGCCAGGTAAAATTCAGAGCTAGTTAGACAAAAAAAAAAAAAAAAACAAAGCAAGAAAAACCAAAAAAGCGCTATCGGCGTTATCTGTTCGCTGAGCTACTTTGGGGCGCGTCCAGGGACGCACCCCTGTACGGGCTGACCTTGTGGGCGTTGTTTTCAACTTTTTTCTCCTTTTTTTTTTTTGGAGCGTCAAGGCCATGACATAGACTGCACTTTGATGTTGCCAGGTCGCGTAATTTATACCGCAGGGCTTACCTAATTTTCAATTTTCTCTCAACTTGTTTCCAAGTCCCACGCGTTTTTTTTTTTTTCGTTTGCCCAGCTTCTATTTCCAGGCGTGTCGCAGGCTCGCAGAGCCCATGGCTCCCTAGCGCCCCAGCCGGCGCCCCCTTTAGTGAAAACGCGTGGGCCGTGAAGCGCAAGTGGGCGGGCCGGGATGGGCCGCGAAGGGGGTTCGTTCGAGGGCGCTTTGCTGTATTTGCCTTTTGCGTGGGATTTTCATTCATGAAAATATCTGCTTCGAGTCACACTTTTGCAGCTGTCGCCATTGCCTTCACCGTTGGGTACATAAAAAGCACGTTGTGCTGTCTATGAGTGTGTGTGTGTGTGTGTGTAAGAGAGAGTGCCTATATACATATACACATAAGCTTGGGCCACAAGTTCGAATCGCCGCTTTGCCGCTCTGCCTCCCATTAGCAAGACAGCGCCTGCGCTTTGGCGTCGGCTTCAATTGTGTGTGTGTCTCCGTGTGTCTCCATGTGTGTGTGTATGTTGGGTTCTCTGTCGCTTGGTGCCGCTTTTGGAGAAATTTTCTGCA